TATATATACTGTATAATGCTCTGCTCTAGTTGCTGTGGTTGATAATTCTGTTGTATGGGAAATCTTTGATGATTTTTTATTACTTTTCTTTTTCCTTTTTTAAGGTTTATGTTATTAGGTGAAAATCAGAGTTATATAAGAACTACCTGAGTAAGGGCTGACTATCTGAAAAATCTAATAATAAAAGGTGTAGGGCTAATATAATAATTTAATAGAATGTGTATAAGTTTTAGAATTCATAAAAATGTCAGGAAGCTGTGTGTTATGGATGTACCCACAGAAGAAAAAATGTCTAATTTCACAGGTAAACAGAGTTGATCTTATTTACCTTGATGTGGATGTGATCTGACCAGAACTCAAGCTAATAATAACTGTTTAAAACTAAAATAAGCTGATAAAGCAAATGAAATTATTGTTATTATATTAGCTAATATATATTAGCTTCTGTAGCATACAGTCTATATTAAGTATTTTATACAGACTAAATTTCTGAAATGTATTTTTTAATCTCAGCTATAGATGAGATTCTGATCACTGTAATTAGCTGCAATTAGAGCTTACATAAACTTTTACAAATTCACTAACTAGTTAAAGTTCTAATTATTCAATTAGCTAAAAAGTCTTGAAATGATTGGAATCAAGTCATTAATTATTGACTGACTTCAGGTCAACTTCAGATCATCATTAGTTGTAACCAATATATTTTCCTTATAATTCACATAGTTGTTTTACATGATTGTTGTATGAAATTAACATTAATTATGAGTTATATTATCTATTGTAATAAAAATAATTCTTACAGATGAAGTTGGGCTTACTGTTAATCCAATCGTCTTGTCAGCTGTGAGACATTGACCTCTTCAGGCACCGTCTCAGCTTCTCCATGATGTCACAGATGTAAGTAAGTAAAGTTTTATTTATAAAGCACCTTTCACAAAAATATATTCACAAGGGGCTTTACAATTATTAACAATGTAAGAATGGTGGAAAGATAAAATGAAACAGAATAAAACATAATTAAATATAAGCAACGTAATGAAACATCAAATCAGGATTAGATTATAAAATTGTAACTCAGAATATGCAGAGCAAATATACAAGGATACACATAATACATGTAAACAATGAGTGGACAGGCAAAGCTCACTATAGTGTCTTATAGGCCTATCACCAGAATCAGCTTTATTGGCCAAGTWTGTTGCTCTCTATGGTTCTAATTTACCTGAGATGCATAAATGCCTGATGGTAATCCAATAAGGTAAATGCCTCAGTGGCTCTAAGAGCTACACCAGCATAAATGTCTTCAGGTGGGAAACCCAGCTGGACAGATCTTAGGGAAGCTCAATTCATTTCTTGGAAGTAGGACACAGCAGACAGTAAAAACCCAATCATATGAAGAAAATACTAAATATAAATAACAACAACAACAAATGTTAAGGAGCACAGTGTGTACACATGATGCCCCCTTAATATTTCCATCTGCCCCCTCAAGAATGCATTCCTAGAACTGGCCCTGAGAGGGAAGGTTACTCCAGCAGAGGAAGTTGGGAGGCACCATTCTCTTTGCTAAAATGGTTTAGCCTTGAATCAGAACCAGTCAATTGGAAGTTGCCYTAATGGACAAAGACAGGCAAATTTGACTTAAATATGATGCAACCAGTGTGTTGTTGACAAGTTGTTAACACATAGTCTGTGTAATTTACACATGAAATTTTGATGCGTTAACATCACATACTTTATGTGTCATTTAGACATTGTATACGTGTCAAATTCACATGAAATGGTCATGCCTATTTGGCCTAGTAAACTTTCCTTATCCTGGTTTATGTGTAATTTTTCTGAGCATTGCACAGTCTGACCTCGGGTGGAACTTTTTGTGAAGATTTGCAGTAATTGCTTCTCTAAAATCATTTCTGATATCTTTCCACCCTGACATTATGCTGCCACACACCTGACTGCTCCATATGAGTGTCATAAATGATTTCTGATCACAGTGTGGTCAGCATCTTTTTAACYTTTTGTTTTAAACATGACTGAATTGCAGAAGGCTGGAGGGAAATTCATGCAGGATTTATAAAAACAACACTTAACATACAGTACGTTGGAAGAATAGCTCAGTACCAACCATCTGCAGAACAGCTGTAGAGCTGTATGTGCAGTTTGTTCAGATGATTGGCTGTTTGGAAATAATGGCTCTGATTGATTTAGGCTTGTTTGTTGTTTGTGTTCCAGCTTCAGTGCTGCTGGTTGTTGATCAGGCTGTGCTTAGGAATAAACGCTATCAAGCTGGAGTCAAGTACTCCTGTTGGAAGCTGCTTCGTCACCACTTTTTACAGCATATTTATGCATTTGATTTCTACATTTCCATCAGCAAACATGAGCAGCTGTTAAAAGCATTTTTGTATTTTCTGTTTATAGATAGTGATGGAAGTTTAGGAGAAAAATGACCAACAAAATATAAAAATCTTTCTTTGTTCCTCCTCTGAGATTTAATGCCCCATCTAGACGTAATGTTTGAATATGTTCACATTAAACTCCCATCAAATGGGTTTTRATGACCATGTGTGGTTAACAAACGGCACCGAAGGTTAGAATGGTYCAGGTCACAATCAGTCACACTTATTGAGTCATTCAGATGATTTTTAAAATGCTTTTAGAACTACTTAGACTCTGTGGATGATTTTATGTCTTTTGAAAATCTGAACAAACAAATAAATAAATAAAAACATTAACTTGCTGGATAATGTCAAATTAAAATAAACCAATATCCCAACCTGAAAAWTTTAACAAGATCTCCACCCATCAGGCCAAGGCCTGGTGTTGAGACCTGGATCCTTTGGTTTCAGGCTGCACAGAAACATTACAGTTCCGAAGAAAATATTATGTAAATCTTTTTATGTACGTAGTACAAAAATCAGCACTTCCTTTCAGACCAGTCCGTCACAGTAATTTCTCAGATTGACCAACCTAGAAACTAATCTTTTCTCCACTGATTTATTCATTTTATTTATTAACTCTTATTTAACCTGGCAAATTCCACTAAGATCAGAGATCCTTTTTGCAAGGTTGGTCTGGGTCTGAAGGCAACTTATTGTACAGGGTTCAACAAATACCACTGTCTGACTGGCCAGGACACGGAAAAGGCAAGTTTGGGCAGGTTGGTGTGTTCCGGTCCCTGCACAGCTGGGCATGTAAACTTTTTGTTTTTTARATGGCCATTTCATCAAAAAATTCTGAAAATAAATGAAGAAATATAGCATTTTAAAACATGTAAATGGGGTAAACCACCATCATTTCTCCCCCCCCCTGCAAAGTGTAAGTAAGACAAAAACCACTGTATATGTAATTTATTGTAATTGTTAGTTTAGAAACATTTAGTTGTGTACATGTGTGCTTTCACAACTGCAGAGTACTTCACACCTCAGCAGGGGTGTTACCAAAATGTTCCACTCTTCAGACCTAGTTGCTGGTGTCAGACTCTGATCACCAATAAAATGTAAACAAGCTGCTGGATTGCAACAAAAATGATACATTTTCACTGAAAACCAGCTCTGTGTAAACGGGGCCTGACATGCTTGGGAGTGTTGTTTTGTGTTCATGGAGGGATGGTAGGCAGGAATACTGATTAACCAGTAAATAGACTCTTCCAGACCTTCCACTGGTGAAAATCACTCAGGTGATTTTTGTATTTCATTACTGTAAGARGACCAGCACCAGGCAGCTGGACCCCAGTTCAATTAGGACCTTATCGAGGAATTAGTTACGTTTCCAAGTTTAGCTTTCTGGTGTCGTGCATTTTGTGTTTTCTCTTTTCTGAACTGACTTTTTAAGGTTCATGTGGTTCTGAGGTTTTTATTCCAGGTTGTACTGTCTCCACATGCACCTCTCTTTAAGTGGAGAATATTTGCTCCTGCAGGGGGTTACTGTGGACTCCTGCAGTTAATATGAAAGGAGAATCAGGGAGGGGGAGGTGTTTTAGCCTCAGGAGGTGTGAGCTGTGTGCAGGGAGTGTCTTTTCTTTTTCTTCTTTTTGTCCTCTTTGTATTTAGATCTGCTGGTTTTGGGAGTCAGTGTGAAAGGAAAAGCATTAACCCTGATTTCTGGGGTATTCAGGCTCCTCTGCAAGATAAAACCTTTCAAACTCATCTGGAGGATAATTCCTCTCATCATGCTTTCCTAGTTCTCCTGGTAAGACTCTTATATTTACCTCTGGCTGTGTTTTAACGTTACTTAATGCTAATTTTCCTGTCGGACATTCATTTTCACCTGCTTTGGAATCATCTGTTATACAACATTAAGAAGCAGAACTCAAACTAAAAGCAGGGAGCAGACCTGCATTTTCTCAAAGCTTGAATTAAATGGTCACATTTTTAAAGAGTTGAAAGCAGGCTGCTGAGGCTTGAGCCATACAGGATCATTTGAGGTCTCCACTCAGAAGATTTTATGACTATTTTTCTTCTTAAYTGTGGAAAACAGAGCTGAAAGTCTTATTTTAAAGAAGACAGATGAGAGTTAAAGTTTTGGGATGATTTTCAATAGAAGATCTACAGGTTTGTGTGAAAAGTAACCCAAATATTTGCTGATTTCCTCACACAGCTGTCCAATCAGGATGTGAAGGAAGTGTCAACATCAGTTTGTTGTTTCGGAAAGCTACTGAAAAGGTCACACTCAGCACTCATTAATCTGATGTGTGTGTGTGTGTGTGTGTGTGTGTGTGTGTGTGTGTGTGTGTGTGTGTGTGTGTGTGTGTGTGTGTACAAGGTTTAAGACTCGTGTCAGTCAAACATGATCAGTGTGCTGCTGGAGATTCTCAGGCTAACACAACACAACTGTTATTCTGCAGCTCGTCTGTTTAGCTACATGACAGCAGTCCTTGTTGTCTCTGAAACCAAAAGTTTCTGAATCCTGGTCTCAGAGTGGTTTTTGAGAGAACCTCGTCAAGGTGCGTGAGAAGCAGAACAACAGTTAAAAGCTGAGAGTAAAGTTCTGTTTCTCTGTCTTTTCATCATTAAGGAAAGTAACTCCGACCTTCAGGATGTAACGGTTTTGTTTCTCAGTCTCCAGAGTGCGTGTGTGTTGTTGAAGCTCAGCCTCAGTTGTAACATACAGTATACACCTTTTGTTTGTTTATTGACAATATTTTCTGCCACAATAAGCCGATATTCTAACAAATAGTATGGATAATATTTATGTTTTTCTGTGCATCTCTTGTACTCAGTATACATGTTTAACATCGGTCACATCATTTCTGCATACCTGTTTGTATTTTTTAACTGAATATTTCTTGGTGTAGTTTTGTTCCAAGCAGTGCTTCAGCTGTTGTTCACAGATCAGGTTTGATCTCAGAGGAAAAGGCATCAATCTCCCTGTTTGTTTCTGTCTCACTTCTTCTTGTTCGTCTTGCTGCAGGTGAACTTTGCACCCAGCACCTTTATTGTCCCGATGATTGACACCTCTGTTCCTGAGTCTTTCCTAATGACTACGGTTTGCTTTGCTGCTTTTTGAAATGACAATTGTGACAGTTTGCTGATATCAACATCCGTTTTGGATTTTCAGCACAACTGTTTGAAGAGTGAATCAGACCTTAACCCTCTCACTGTCCTTGCTGTACGCTAACAAAGCTAGCCAGTTAAAGTCATGGATGTCTGTTAGGAAGCCACCACCTGACAACCCCACCCCAACCTCCCTTATTCCATGAAATATAGTTTTTGCTCATCGTTGGCACATTATTCAAACTTTAGAGCAGCCTGTTTGGTGGTTTTTGTCACTCATGGTCTTCATTGAAGAGAAGCTCAAAAAAAAATGTCTGTGGATGTTTGAACCAGAGGTTTCTGTTAAATCCACAGYCAAAAAAATCATTGTTAGGCAAGAATAAACTGCTATTTTCTTTAAAATATTCTAAAAGTGAATCAACCATAGTTATAGAAAGAGCGATGTGAGAAACCAGGTCACAGAGAGAAACTTTAAGCTCATTTGATGTGCTGCAGTGACCAAAACCCAGTTTGTAATCAGAGGTTTATAAATCACAGGATMCTGCTTCTGGATCGGATCAGAGACTCTTTACAAACAGTTCAGCTGTCTCCTCACAATTACTCTAAGCTCAACACAGAGATACTGAGGCAGTGGATTTCTGACATCAGTGATAAAAAAAATCCTAATTTTATGAATTTGAATCAGCACAAATTTTACATTTGTTTCCAGTTAAGTCTTTTTAAAGTAGACTGAATAATTGGTTGGTTCATTCTTGTTCTTTTTCAAACAGAGAATAATGAGCTGATTAATAATCTGTAGGCATCACAGGTTTGGTGCACAGAAATCTACACACTTGAATCAATCCAACAGTGTTGTGTCTTACTGAGGGAAATGTTAAAGCTTTAATAACTTTTTTATCTGGCTGGATTATTGAAAGGATGTGAACTCTAGCCCTTATTTTAGCACACAGTCTCTCAAACACTTTTTCCTTCTCCAACTCTAATAGATTTTACTTTGTAAGTAAACTTTTACAGTCCAGTAAAACATATTTTGTCCATATGTAATACAATCAAAAGAAATCTCAAAACTTGTCTAGTTCTGAAACAAGCAGTGATCCTGGTACTGGATCAGAACTGGTCTCACAGATGTTCAGTTGAGGAACACTCACAGGTGCTTCATAGACACATGACATACTATATGTGGATGGGTGGTATGGTAACAGCTGGAACACCCTCCATTGGAAATTGATACACCCAAAACACATGGCCACGCCCCCAGCTATTTTCTGTATGGGGTGGGGATGGGTGTGGCCTGAGGGGAGAAAGAAAGGAAAATTTCATGAAGACAGGGAAGTTTCTTTTGGAAGAAATGTGAAGGAAACTCATCTGAGAACCAAGGAGCTCAAAGTTCTCWATGGTTGAAGGTGGCAGGAAGCACCATGGGTCAGGAAGCTCTGGAGCAGGAAAACTTCTGAGGACCGTCATGGTGGTGACGTTCTTTACCGTGAGTACATTCACCTAGCTGTACCTGCAGCTGCTGCACCAGGTTTGGTGTTTTGACATTTATTGAGGCACCAAGCTCAGTTTTTGTTGTGTTTTCTTTACTTGGGCTTGGGACAGAGAGAGAAAAACCCAGAGTGGAATTTCTTRTTTGGGTCCTTTTTGAAACAGAACCGAACACAAGCCATGGTTTATCTAAGTTTACACACAAAGTGTTATTTGCTGTGATAATTGTTTTTCACTGTTGTGCAACAATGCACTTGAGTTTATGAAACTGTAGCATTTGTAGGTTTGTTTTATTTAATGCTTAGGGTGTTAAGCACTGCGATATGCTTCCATCCTTCGTGAGGTTGTTGTATTTTCAAGGGTATTATTATAAAGAAAACAATTATATGTCAGGAGGGCAAACTGGCAGGTGCTCAAGACCTTGATTTCATGAAACAGTTGATGGACTACCACCGTCCTGTCTCTGGAGGATGGACATTGTGCTGTGCTGTCAGGGTCCCAAGAATCAGTACAAGTGCCCTGCAGTCAGACATTTGGGAAACCCACACCCTACCAGGAATGAGACCACTGGGCCTTTCCACAACATTGGCAGGATTTGTTCTGTCCTCTTGGCAGAAGAATTTGTGCAGACTGTGGTCCTCCATGGTGATATCCTGCAGAATGATGGACCCACCAGTCCATGAGTCCAAACCCATCAGTCTCTGGTGTTCATGTTAGCTACTCTCTGAGTGCTCAACCTGGTTTTGACAGTAACTGGGTGTTCTCATTGATAAATCCACACTGGTTTACCTCAGTGGACATCAGACTTGATAGAAGATTGAGACATACGTATAACACTAAATCCACGCAAAAGTAAAATATGTTAAATAAATGTCTTGTTCTTAAAAGCTGTAATAATGATCTGAACCTGTGAATTTATGACTGTGTGGGATGAGAACACCTTTGTCTCCTGCTGCTTGGTGTCATGATGAAAGCTGTGTAGAACCAGAACTGATTCTACTTGTTTTTTCTTCTGTCTGATTGTGGGGMTTTTAAAGGCCTTCATTATTCTCTTGGTGAAAGTGTGACAGCTAACGATCAGGAAGAGACACATACAGTGTCTCTGCTTTTCAATGGGAAACACTAAGAGGAACAGGAAGGAGGAAAGAAAAATCAAACCAAGATGATGGTTCCACAGGTGTCGAACTCCATTCTCGAGGTTCGCTGTCCTGTATGTTTTCTTGTTTTCCAGCTCAAACACACCTGATTTGCATGAATGGATGATTAACAGGCTTCTACAMAATTTAAGAAGTTAATTGAAYCACTGAATCAGGTGTGTTGAAGCAAAGAAACAAGGAAAACARGCAGGATAGTGGCTCTTGAGGACCTGAGTTTGACACCTCTTAGACCTCTGAGTAAAAGCTGAAACATGAACTGTTAATCTTGTTGATAAATTATTCAGGAGCCATTAAGTCCTGAACTGAGTCCTGCCAGCTGTAGGTGGTCTTAAAGACTTTCCAGGTTTGGTCTCATGTCTTTAAAGGGATCCCTGATTAGTTGTAACATTAGACTTTATTTGATAAACATATATTTTAACTGTAAAATAAAGACTGTAAAAATGCTGTAGGCTGTTTAGTTTTTATAATTTTTAAAAATATGTTTTAACTCAGACGGAGCCATTTTATTTCCACACAAAGCATTCTGGGTAAATGATGACGTGGATAGGTCCTCGGTGRGAGGCTGCTAGCGAGCTATATCCACCCTGAAGGTTAATCTTGGACAATATCTGATGATCGACTCTTTTAAATGAAACCAGAGAGCGTTGACAGAGAGGAGAAGGTAGAAATGGATGGAGGACAACAGAGCTGCTTCATGGAAGAAGAACCTCTAACGATGGTAAACCATGGCTAAAACTGTGGCTAACGATGGTAAACCACGGCTAAAATGATTGCTCTGATTTACTTATTAAAAACATGAAAAATACATAGAAATGTGTGTGAAAACCTGTTTTTATTGGTCATCAAATATATTTAGTCAGATTTTCTTCTCCTTGAATTCTCTATTTTTCTTCCTTTATTTTTGCAGTTTGCATGTGTTTTGTCAAAGACAGACAGATGAGTGACTGGTCTCTTTAAGCCACTCATTGTTAAATGACCTTTTGTAATTAACAGCAGTGTTTGGTTGTTTCTTCTTTGATTGCATCTTGGTCTGTTTGCTGTTTAGTGGATTTGA